TCTTACTATATGGATCTGTTTTTCTTTTGTCCTCCGAGTAATGAGACTGTTCTCTTCCTTTACAGCTAGAATTGCTAGAATTTGACTGCTCCCACGGATTCAGTCTCGGTCCCGAAAGCCAATATCGGTGGTACCAAGTACTATATCAAATAGGAGTATTCATCTCGAGATCATCGTCCGACATCATAGCCCTTCCAGGCAAAGTACTGCCTGTACTAGCTCTCATGCAGGTTTGTTTTCTATCATTTGCATACCCCCTCTTATCAGCTTTCGATTATCACAGGTTTTCAACGCCGTTCTTTTATACTTCCAAGCTTTGGACGGATTCATTTCTCATATTTTCATACTAATGTTCATAATTGTTTATGAAGGATTGCTAGGAGGTGCTTCATACGTGAACACATACAGGGTTGTTCACGCAGAGGTGAGTTTTTCTTGGTGTGACTATTTATATTGGTTTACTTTGAATCTTGTTCTCACCATGATCGTTCGTGCTCTGCCTTTTCTGGGGTGGGGGATCTGCGTGAAGATAGCCATGACTTCAAAACAGAAAGAAGACGTACTAATCTTACAATTGCATGTGCTTTGTAGTATCACGTATCATGTCAAGATCCACGGGAGAGATATTTAAGCGCCACCTTTTTTTGGGAAGGCGCTGGCCCTTTTTAAGAAATGCATTAAATCTGCAAAGACAAGACTGCATTTCTCTCGCCGTTTGTCAGATATCGCGGTCAGCAAAAAATCCGCACAACACCACTTAAGTGAACACTAGCGAATGTTCGAAAAAAATTTTTTTGTTGTCATTGGAAAGAAGACTTTGACAGTTACAACAACGTACCTTTAGAAGCTCTGCGCATTTTTTCCTCATATCCTCCCCACTTCCCCCAAAGGTCAAAACGAAAGAACATTGTTGAGAAATGACGCATGCAAAGACTGCTCTGAGCTTCTTCTTTTTCTATTACTCATCATCAATATTATTCAGATACCACCCGAGAGGAAGGAATTCAGTATGGGTTTTGTCTCCATATCTGACACGTTTGGAATTCTGCTGGCAGGCTTTACAGCAATCCCTGCACATAACATCATCTGCAAGCAACCGCTGTAGGAAGCAGAAATGTTGGATTCTATCTGTAGAACTAGGGTAAGAAACCTGTGGATGCATGCCTCAATGTCTGAGAGGCTTTTATTAATCAACATTT